CTTAGAAACATCGATGAGAGAGATACATCGATCAGCTGCCTCCTGCACACTCCCTACTGGGTATATGCCTGCAACCAAGGTACATGCCCTTGACCGGAATCGAACCTGGGACCCTTGAGTCCACAGGCCGATGCTGTATCCATTGAACCAAACCGGTTAGGGCAGAAAATGTAGTTATTTTTAAAGACAATATTACTTATGCTAAAATATAACAAGTTTCTTATTGTTCTATTTTAAGTTATTAAAATACATTTTTTCTCTTTAACATATTTTTGTTGATTTCAGAGAGAAAGGGAGAGGGAGAGAGATACAGAAACATCAATGATGAGAGAGAATCATCGACTGGCTGCCTCCTGAACGCCCCCACTGGAAAATCATCGATTGGCTGCCTCCTGCACGCCCCCTCTGGAGATTGAGCCTGAAACCTAGGCATGTACCCTGACTGGGAATCAAACCATGACCTCTTGGTTCATGGGTCAGTGCTCAACCACTGAACCACACCGGCTGGGCTAAGTTATTAAAATACTTCTTAAAAATCTGTTTTAATCTCGAGTATAGTAGTGTGTGTAGCTATTTGGGAGAGGCAGACACTAAGACCTTTCTTTCTAGTATATGACTTCTAAAACTTCAGTTCACTGTGATTAAAAGTGTCAATCATTGATCTAGAAAGGGGAATACTCCTAATTTTTTAATATCCTAAAATAAATGGCTACTCTTTTAAATATAGAGATCAAGTGGTGCCCAGCTAGGATTCCTTAATGGCAAGCAACAGAAAACTAACTCTGGATAACTTAATAGAAAAGGAAATTTAGTGGCTCATATAGTAAGAAATCTCAAAGGCCAAACTAGTTTATGCATAACTGAATCCAGTGGATTACATTATGTCACCAGTACTCATTCTTCACCCCTCAGAAAAAAATTTTTTTTTTCTATTTTGGCTCTATTTTCAGTTAAGTAGTTCCCAGATGGTATCAAAATTGGACACTGGTAGTGGCATATTCTATTCTTTTTCTGATCTCACAATTTCAGAGAAAAAGAAAATACCTATTTTTTTTTATTATTTGAGCAAAATTTCTAGGGAAGACCCTGATTGGGATGACTTGGGTCTGGTGGATATCCATGACCCAATCACTATGGCCAGGAAACAGTACTCTGATTGGTCAGGCTGCTTTATGTGGCCACTGCTGAGTGAAAAAGGCAGGTGAAGTGATTGACAGCTCCAGTGGGTTTGGGACAGGGATTCATAAAAGAAAGGGAGAGAAAGAGAAGGAATAAGTTGACATGAACTTTTGCCTTAATGGTGATAGCAATGACTTTTGATAGGAAATGGGGCATGCAAGGGGTCTGGTAAGTTGTGACCCGTATTTGTAACTAGTTCTACTTTATGTATAAAGTAGAGAGGAAAGACATGGGGAAAGACAAGGAGCGTGGGAGTGAAGGAGACACAAGAAAAAAGCTTAGGAATGCGCCTCTGCCAGTTACCTGATTCACCAAGGTAGTGAGTGATTGCTGTTTCTGATTCTCTGCTATAATTAAGACATTTCTAAAGTGGGAGTTTCTTTCAGTTTCTCTCTTTCATTTTGCCTTTTAGGTGGACAAAAAAATCGTAAGAACTGAGATAGGAGTTCTTCTTCGCCTCTCACATCCAAACATTGTAAGTGATTTTTTGACTACTATTTCAAATTGTCTCTAAAGTAATAGAATGGGATTTTTGTTCTTTACTATCCATGCTGATCATGGAAAAGGGATTCACCCACCACCCGTAAACAGCCACAGGTTCTTGTCCTCATCTGACCACAACTTTCAATTCTTTAGCCGAATGAATCTTAAATATAGTGCCTTTTCAAAAGAGTTTAAAAATGGACAGGTCAGCAATATATATCCTCTTTATTTTTATGCAATAAAGGATAGCTAAAATTTGGATAGCTTTGTCTCGCGCTAGTAAAGCAATGTCTTTTTCCTTCTGTGTGTCCGTCTTATTAATACACCATTACTGAAAAAGCCTGTAAAAAAAAAAGCATTGCTTTCAAAAGTCATTTCAGCCTCCTCAGAGGGAGTGTCTGCTTCAGAAACAATGTGAAGGTTCAAATAAATGCTGTGCTTGAATGGGGAAAACAAAAGGTTTTCGGAAGCTGTGCTTTAGGCTGTGTCCAAAGGCACTGAGGGCAAGGTCTGGAGAAAAGCTTTCTCCAGCCAGTGACGTGAAAAGACCAAAGTCAGTTTCCAGGCCATCACTTGTTTTTATGAGTTGAGCCAACTACTTAAAGTATTTTACTCATTTCTCTGGGAAAGTTGCATCCAGGAGGGTGGCTTGCAATGCTTAGAGGCTCAAAGCCAAGTGCTTAAAACTTAATATATGAATTAGCAGTGTTATTTATAGCATTCAAGCTATAAATAACAGAAAACTTGAATATATTGGTCTAAACCAGTGGCCCTTTAAATACAGTTCCTCTTGTTGTAACCCAACCATAAAATTATTTTTGTTGCTACTTTATAACTGTAATGTTGCTATTGTTATGAGTCGTAATGTAAATATCTGATATACAGAATTGTCTTAGGCGTTCCCTGTGAAAGGGTCGTTCGACCGCCAAAGGAGTTGCGACCCACAGGTTGAGAACCGCTGGAGATGTTTTCCTTAAGTTATAAGAGATCAGAAGGCAGGCCATTCCTAGCATTGGTTCAGCCCCTCAGTGATGTCATACAAAACCCAGATGCCTACTATCCATTGGTTCTGCTACCTTCAGTGCCTTTGCTTTCATGCTTTCCCCTCATGGTCTTCAAATGGCTGTTCCATATACTTCTCACGCCTTAGGCCTGTATTCAAGACAGAATGAAGTGGAAAATCCCCAAAACAGAGAGTCCTATGAGAAGAGTGAAAGGTTTTCTAGCATTTCCAGTTATAGCAAAATTCTCTTCAGATTTTATTGTTCAGAGCTGGTCACAGGAGCAGCCTTAACTTCATAGAGCCTGGGAAAATGGGGAGCAGGGTTATCATAAGTGGCTCAGACCAATTTACCATCCATATTTGGAGGCCAGGCACCGTTCTTCCCCAAACAAATTCAAAGTTCTGTTTGCAATAATGTAGGGGGAGAAGGGCTTTGCGTAGGCACTCAATGAAATGTGCCACATACAGTCATCAACTTTTCACTGTCCATCTTTTTTCTTTCAAAGAGAAGTCAATGTAGAATTGTCCTCAAGTGTAGATCAGTCCTGTCACTAGATTCTCAGATGTATTCAGGAAAATATCCAAAATTAGATGGATTATCTGAATGTGCTGGAAACCCTGTTATGGTCAATCAGATCATTGCCACGCTACATTTCTGAGGATCCCGTCATCTACCAGTGACTTTTTAGCAGTTGAGGTTCCTACTTTCCACAAAGACATACTTTCCCCTGGCCCCACTCTGTTCTCAAACCCAGATTCCAAGTTCCTTCCTAGAAGAAGATGAATTTGCATTTCCAACAACCATGATGTTTTCCAGTGGCTTAAGAAGTTTTGTTTGTTTGCTTTTATTTTTAAACTAGAGGCCCAGTGCACGAATTTGTGCATGGGTGGGGTCCCTCTGCCTGGCCAGTGATTGAGTCCAATCAGGGCCACGGGAGGTTGGCCCACTGAAGGGAGGGGCTGCAGGAGGTTGGCCAGCCATGGGGAGGGACCACGGGAGGTTGGCTGTGGGAGCACACTGACCACCAGGGGGTAAGTCCTGCATTGAGCATCTGCCCCTTGGTGGTCAGTGCACACCATAGCGACCAGTCAACTGGTCGTTTGGTTTCTTGGTCGCTTAGGCTTTTATGTGTATAGATTCTGCAGCAATATTTTGATAAAAATTAGAAAGTGTTTCTAAGGCAGGCATCTTTCATCTGTCAAAAGGAATAATATCAAAACTCAAAAGGACCCTTGAAGAAATGAGGTCACTGATAATAACAACCAGAGAGTGACAAACGGCTCCCTGATACTGGCATATGGACCTTTCATTGACAATGATCCAACACATTACTGTTAGAGCTTTGTTTTAGCTATAGCTTTAGCTATTTCTTAGAAAGGCGAAAATAAGGAATGTGTGATCATTTTTTATATCTTTCTCCAGATAAAACTCAAAGAGATATTTGAAACCCCTACGGATATCAGTCTGGTCCTGGAACTTGTCACAGGAGGAGAGCTGTTTGACAGGTGAGTTGGTTCGGAAATCCAACCACAGAAAGGCTTTGCTTCTAGTCACCAAAAAAGAATTAAAGGGAAATTTCTCCTGAAATTTTTTATAAGGACACATCATACCAATTAATAAATTCTACTACAATAAAATTTAAGAGGAGTG